TCTCGACGAAATTATTGGAATTTAAAATCCCGTTTCGATTGTGCCTTCTTCTTTCCGTCGAACGTGTTCGAATTCCGTTAGCAACACGCCGGAAGAATGCAATTCGCCAACATGCCGGCATCCCGGCACGCGTGGCATTCGATTATGAATGCTGGTACGCGCTGTTGTAACCGCCACGATGCCTACCAACGATCGATGAAGGGTTTAAACTAATAAAGCCCGCCCCTCTTCGCGGCCAGGTCCGCGCCAGCGTCGTAAGATTTCTCTCAGCCGACCGTTTATCTCGTATTTGGCTGATTTGTGTCACGTACGCTGACAATTGAACCGTACGAGCGAATTAGGCTCCGTTGTTAGGGCGAATCACTGTCAGCATCGGTGCCAATGAAGAACGATCGTCGCTGGTGAGATTACACCGGCAAGCGCGCGCGATCGAACGTGAGACCAGCGTGGCCGAATTAATTTAAGAAGACAGAGGAATTGATTTACGGCCCTGATACAATTTGCCGCGGGAAAACGATCCAGCCCGCGATTACGCTACGCGATTCATGGATCTGGATCGTCCTCGAAACGGCAACAAATAATATGCGCGGGGCCTCTGAATTATGGATCGAGCGCGATCGAATCTCCACGGTAGATCGCTCGAGGGGCCACTGCAAACTTCCCCGCGAGTAACTGCATCAATTTTTTTTTCTTTTTATGAGGAATCGTCGATTATTTGGAAGGGGGAGATTCTTTATATGAGAGGACATCTTTCAATTGGTGGGAAAAAAGTTTTTTATGGTCGATTCTTTTTATTATTGATATGGAATTTTATTTGTAACCTTCATTAGACATCTCGTTACAATCTGATTGGGAGGGGGAGGGAAATTAGCAATTTTTTAAAAGTTTATACGAGGGGTTTGCATTACATAGAATTTAATATGGATTAAAAGTCTGTTTTATTTAAATTGTTAAATTACTATACAAATGGTTTTTATTGATGTAGAATTGTATTATTAATCTTCATTAGGCATCTCGTGACAATCTGATTGAGGGGGAAAAATGAGGAATTTTTTAAAAGTTTATGCGAGGGGTTTGCATTACATAAAATTTAATGTGAATTAAATGTCTTTTTATTTAAATAGTTAAATTACTATCAAATGTTTTTATTGATGTAAAATTTTATTATTAACCATCATCAGACATCTTGTGACAATCTAATTGGGAAGGAAAAATTAGCAATTTTTTTAAAGTTTTTACGAGGGGTTTGCATTACATAGAATTTAATGTGGATTAAATGTCTATTTTATTTAAATAGATAAATCACTATAAAATGGTTTTTATTATTCATGTAGAATTTTATTATTAATCTTCATTAGGCATTTCGTAGCAATCTGATTTGAATTAACAATTTTTTAGAAGTTTATATGAAAAGTTTGAATTTAATATAGATTAAACGTCTATTTTATTTAAATAGTTAAATCACTATCAAATGGTTTTTATTGATGTAGAATTTTATTATTAACCTTCATTAAACATCTCGTAACAATCTAATTGGGAAGGAAAAATTAGCAATTTTTTTAAACTTTATACGAGAGATTTGCATTACATAGAATTTAATATGAATTAAATATCCATTTAATTTAAATACTTAAATTACTATCAAATGATTTGATATTCGCAAAGGAATTACCAAATAGAAAGAATGTATTTTTAATTGAATATCGTAGGTGAAAATATTTAATTTCGAATAAATTTTCTTGCAACGTCTGAAATGAGCTTTGAAGCTGATTAATTTTTTCGTTTTTCTTGGCGCCACTTTGACAATCGTGGTTTCGAGAGAGACGTGTTGAAAGTTTCCAACGGGGTTTCTAGATAAGTCCGCGGCTTGTTTCACACTTTGGTACTTGGGGCGAAACAGCAACGCGCGAAACTCATTTCCAGAGGCGAGAATAATAAAGTTTGGACGTACCGTGTGTCCCGTTTGACCTTGTTACGGAATTATTGCGAGTTTCCGTGTCGCAACTCTTCTGGCAGACCAAGTTACGACCGATACGACTGTTTGTAAACAATGATATCCTACGTGTGACCTTTTTGGACAATATAAACGCTATCTCGTTGAACGTTGCACCACTATAATCAACTTTTCATTTATGAACACTAATTTAGAAGTAGAAATAGAGCTTCATGGAAACACAACTCTATAAACAACAATTAATGAAGACTCATAAAAATTTAAATCAACTTTTTATTTATGAACACAAATTTAGAAATAGAATGGGGCTTCATGGAAACAGAACTCTATAAATACGAATTAATGAAGACTCATAAAAATTTAAATCAACTTTTCATTTGTGAACACAAATTTAAAAATAGAAATAGAGCTTCATGGAAACACAACTCTATAAATAACAATTAACGAAGACTCGTAGAACTGACACTTTCATACAAATTTTTACGAACTCCAAAAACAAATCTATCACTTGAAAAAAATATTCGTTTCTTTTGGAATTCGACAAAAATAAATCACATGTTTTCCACTAATTCCAGTAATTCGCTAATTACTGGCCTGCAACAGCATCGAGGCGAGCGATAAATTGCATAATTTTAGCCAGCCGGCAGTAGCACAAATCGTGATAGGACAGCTGTTCCATGATCTAGCTTAGGACTTATCAAGGGATCTTCATTGCAGCAATTTAGATACCCGGTACAGTCCAGTCAGCAATTTTCTCTTTGCAATAATCCATCTATTACAAACGATCCATCGATAATTCTAAGCATTAATACAAATATTATATTTATTCGTTGAGTAAAAATAAAAATAAAAATAAAAGAGGTATCTTTAGTGCTCCGTACGATCTGTGATTTTCTCTTTGCAATAATCCATCTATTAATATCTATGTACGTACAAACGACCCATCGATAATTCTAATCATTAATAAAAATATTGTATTTATTCGTTGGGTAGAAATAAAAATAAAATAAGTATTTTTAATGCTCCGTACGATCTGTGATTTTCTCGTGCAATGATCCATCTAATATCTGTATACAAACAATCCATCGATAATTGTAATGATTAATAAAAATATTGTGTTCATTCATTGGGTAGAAATAAAAATAAAATAAGCATTTTTAATGCTCTGTACGATTTGTGTTCGTCGTAATCGTAGAATGCTGGTACCTTTGGATTATCTATTAAAGCGACGAGAATGCGTTACAAGTTTGTCCCACGATAACGTAAATTGCTCGGTGGAAACAACGTCTACGATCGGAGTAGTGACAGATTGAGCAACGAGGGGCAGGGAATTAATCTCCTTGCGTGGTAAATGCACGCTATCACGTGCATGTACTGTGGTTTATTTTGTCTACAAACAGCGTATACTTACCAGACACTGCTAAAGAGGCTTAAGCTGGGCACAGACGTTACGACTGTATTTGCTTAATGAGCCAACAGATCATCGTTTTATTGAGTCGCGGCCAATGACAGCGAAAACGTAATAGGAAACGACGGGGGATTATTTATGAGCGTTTATCGTCGACCGTTTAATTAAATGTAGTAAATAACCATACGACGGTCCTCTGCACGGAGATCCAATCAGTCCTATTATACTATTATTATCGTTATTCGTGCGAACAATTTATCATCCTTTCTCTTACCTTTGTTCCTCCTTGATTTTTAGTTGATCAGTTATTTTTATTTTCGATAGTTGCATTTGCAAATTTCTACTCTTTGGGTACGATGTATCTCTAAATAATTGGAAAGAAAAATGTAGCGTTGTTATGGAAACGTTGGAGAAATTGGAAAATTATAGATTGAAAGCTAGATTTAGTGAATCGTAATTAACTTTTGCAATAGCAAGCCTTTCTCTTGTTGCACGATTTTATTATTTCTCAGAGAATTCATTGGGATTATTTGTTCTGTATTTTTCTATTCCATCTATTCTATCTGATCATTTGTTTCATTTTCTATTTAATTTTTACTGTTGTATCAACCCATTAGGGTCATCAGCAACCACAATACCTTACAATCGTTTGATATAGCATCAGGTTATATAAAATAAACAAATTTTATACGCTTAACATAGAAATGTAACGCTAGACACAGAGATCAAGTTAAATTAAATGAAGTATGTTTAAGAAATTTTAGTACTCTTGAGCAAAAATCTGCAGTCCTAGTTACTTCTTTGAAGTTTCCATCAATTTGGTAGAATTCTTTTGTTTCATTATATGACACAGATTTATTCTTTCTTAATGAATGTATTAAATATCATTTGCTGTATATTTTTCTATTTCATTGTTTGACAATGATTCAATTAATTATAATGTACTATAATTCACTAGGCCATTGTTTGAACTTTCTCATTCCTTCACAGAGAATTTATGTATTCTTCTATTTTTTCATTGTTTCACAGTGATCCAGTGATGATTGACCAATTTAGTATAATTCATTAGATCATGGTTTGAACTTTCTTATTCTTTCTCCAGAGATTATACCAGGACTATTTGTTCTATATCCTAATTTTATTATTTCTTAGAGAATATATTGGGATTATTTGTTCTGTATTTTTCTATTCCATTGTATGCCAGTGATTTAATTCATTATTATTGATTATATTCTATCTGATCAATTTGTTTCATTATATGACATAGATTTATTCTTTCTTAATGAATGTATTAAGTATTGTTTGTTGAATATTCTTCTATTTCATTGTTTGACAGTGATCCAATTTAATATGATTCACCAATTTAGTATAACTCATTAGATCATGGTTTGAACTTTCTCATTCTTTCCCCAGAGATTATACCAGGACATTTTATTATAATATATTTACCATAATATGATAAATTATGAGATATTTTATTATAATAGAATTTATCATGTTTAATCATATACTGAAAACTGGTTTAAATCTTTTTTATTTTTTTTTCTGTAGAGTTTGCTGAGATTGTCAGTTCTCTAGTAACGAATTTTAATTTGAATTGTTCAGAAATTAAAACGTACCAATCTTTCACTGTTCCAGGCGGTCTGAAACACGGAAACGGTGGCATCGGAAGTGCTAACAGTTCCAGAAGCACCAGTCCAAGTCAACAACAGACGCTCCAAGGCGGGCTGTCCTTCATACCTCAGCCCAGAAATCAGAATTCAACTAACAGACAGCCTGCAGCCACTACTCCGAGGTAAATAATCTGCACATCCCACGCAATATCAATTTAATTACGGCCCGTTAAGGCCGGAGATGGTGCAAATTGTATTCGAGCAATAAACAACCAATAAAATCAACATATAACAGTTTGTTCACGTGTGGAATCTTTCGTTCTATATTTATAATTTTTATTCGTTGATCTAGATTGTTATCTTGATTATAATTTTGCCCATCTCTGTCCAGGATAAATGTACCAATAGTTGACCACTTGTTTGTAGAAACTTTTCTTCAAATACCTGCTCTATTTTAAATTGCAAGTAAAATGTTTCTTCATTTTATTTTAATTCTTTTCGATAATATTTTTCAGTAAGTAGTTGACATCTAGCAGTGTTATAAATTTTAGTACTTTTGTTTCATCGGTTAATTTCGTGATCAGCATTTTGCAACTATAGAAAAGTTACTTAAATTTTCGAGTAAATTCACTTCAGATTTGGGAATAAGTGTTTTTATGCTTCCCGAAATTTGTTGAATTTTTCATATCAGTAATCTCTTACTAATAGAATTTACCAGGTGGTATGATTTTTAAAGTAGGAAAAAATATATTGTTTATTTAATAGTTGGCCCATATGGTTATAGTTAATTCATCAAAAACACGTAAATAATTAAAACAAAAATCTCACAATCAGTACTCTAAGAATAAAATATTATTTGAAAGAACTTTTCCAAAAACTAAAACATTTTCAAAACCACAAAAATAATATAACAAAAATCTCAATACCCTTAAAATTAAATACTATTTGAAAGAATTTTTCCAAAAACCAAAACATTTTCAAAACTATAAAATAATTAAGACAAAAATTTGAGTACCCTTAAAATTGAATACTATTTGAAAGAAATCTTCCAAAAATCAAAATACTTTGAGAATCACAAATAATTAAAAGAAAAATCTCACAATCAATGAACTAAGAATAAAATATTATTCGAAAGAACTTTTCCAAAAACTAAAACATATTCAAAACTACAAATATAATAAAACAAAAGTCTCAATACCCTTAAAATTAAATACTATTTGAAAGAATTTTTCCAAAAATCAAAATACTTTCAGAATCACAAATAATTAAAAGAAAAATCGCAATATCCTTAAAATAAAAATCTGTTTGAATGATTTTTTTCCAAAAACTGGAATATTTTCAGAATTACAAATAATTAAAACAAAAATCTCTCAGCACTCTGAAACTAAAATACTATTTAGAAACAATTCACCAGAAACCCAAATATTTTCAGAACAACAAACAATTAAAACAAAAGTGTCAAAAAACCCGAAAAACAGAATACCGTTTGAAAAAATTATTCCAGGGACCAAAATATTTTCAAAACTACAGATACGATATAAAATCAAATATATATCCATTATTTACTAATTAGAACAATATTTCACCCAGTTTCATATTTTAATAAGGGAATTGCTCGACGATACCCAGCAAACGTAAATTAATTTAATCCGTTTTTTGCAATTGTAGATTAAAATTTTGAAAATCTAATATTCTTTGACTAGACTGTCTTGTTTTAGTGATACCTGTGATAACTATTTTAGAACTCACTTAAAATGAACCTCAGACATAATGAAAATTGAAAATAAAACTAAATATATAAAATAAATCCCACAATATTGATTAAATCTACAAATTATATAGGATTTTACTTCAAGGGGTTACACTATAATGAAAATTAAAAATAGAAAATAAATTCCACAATTTAAAATTTTCTTAAATTTTTCAAAAATTTTCAAAATAATTTTAAACGAGGAGCATGATATTAAATCGAAACGAAAACATTAGTAAATTGCAAGTCTAATATGCTTTGACTAGACTGTCTTGTTTTGGTGATACCTGTGATAACTATTTTAGAACTTGAAATGAACCTCAAGCATGATTCTTAAATTGAACGTTTCTGTTGATGTTCAGATCAAGGATTATTACTAGACTGCGGATGTTTATGCATTTATGGGAGATTTTAATCCTCAAAAAACTACAGAATGCATTTAATAAGCAAAAATATAAGAAATACTTAAAGTAAGATACGAATTATTATATTTAGGGGTTGAGACAGCCCTCTGCGAAGCTTCCGTTTCATTAATTCTATTAATAAAAATGTGAATTTGCATAAAGATTCGCAGTCTAATTATTACTGTAGTTATTCTAGTATCACGGTTGCAAAATATTTTCAAAACTAAACATACAATATAAAATCAATATCCACTATTTGCTAATTAGAACAGTATTTCACCCAGTTTTGCTCGAAGGCTAGTCACTGGAGCGTCAGCAAAATATCGTTGAAACAAAGTAAAAACCCCAACATTGAACCCCAGCCAAGGATCTTATCCAACTGGTCGAGCTATAAACGGTCAACTATCGGTAGTTTTACCTTGGTGGATTACGGACGGTTGATTTTGACGAAGGTCGGATTAATCAATGCACGTGAAACGGTTTCAGCCCCCGGGCGTCGACGGTGGGAAAATCCGGCGGGACGAGAGCCACGCAACCTTCGCCGTACACGGCCGCGGGACCGCCGATCCAGCAGAACAAGAACTCTGTCCTGGACAAATTCAAGCTATTCAACAACAAAGAGAAGAACCAGGACCGCGGCAAAGCGTCGTCGGGCGTATCGAAACGCACGTCCAGCTCCTCCGGGTTCTCGTCGGCCAAGTCGGAGCACTCGGACAGTTCGACGTCGTTGTGCGACCAGAGCAGAGTTCAGGTGGAGTCGCCGAAGAGCCGCGCATTGAAGTCGAAGCTGCAGTCGACCAAGCCGGCGAAACAGGCGAGCCCGAAGACCGTGAGGAAGGAGCAGAGCAAGGCGCAAAGCAAAATCGCCCGAACGAAGACCGCCACCGACAAGTTGGTTTGCTACAATCCGCCCTTGGAAGATGTCAAGTCAGCCAGCAAAGTCGGCGGCGTGGTTACGAAGCTGGCTGCGGACAAGAAGGCCGGGAATCTGCAGGATCTGCTGAAGCAACAGCCGGTGGGCCAGCTGCAGAAGCCGAATCCGCCGTCGCTGACGCCTTCCAAGCAGATCGAGACGAAGAACGTGGCTGGTCCGAAGAGCGAGTCGATGCAGCAGTCGCCCAGACCGAAGATGGAGCTGCCGGGGAAGATGACGGACGCGAAGATCCACCTGCAGAACATGAAGATTCTACCGAACGGGCTGAACAAGGACCTGCTGGCTCAGAAAGGACTGGCTGGTAACACGAACGGGATGATCAAGTCGGATCAGGAAGAGGCTCATGAGCACAACATCGATCACACGTTGTGTATGAACCAGGCGAATCTGTTGGAGGAGAAGTCGTCGATTGGTAGGCAGAAGACGATCGTCGAGAATGTACAGTCGAACAATCAGTTGGGGGAAGCTGCGTCCAAGAATAAAAATGTCGCGAAAGCCAAGGTTTCGAACGAACTGCAGGAGATGGGAAGCTTGAACGAGAAGCAAACGCCTGGGTCTTCCGTGAACAGTCCCGAAGCGATGGATGGGAAGATGAACGTCCTTCAGGATGGCTCCATGACGAGTTATGGGAACTCTGTTTCTCCGCAGAGTCAGATCTCGAACGGGGTGAATTTCGGACAGTGCAAGCAACAACTTCCAGGGATCAACAGCCCGTTGCAAGGCTCGACGATCGCCGCTTCCGGGATCAGTCCTGGTTCCAGCATTCCGAAGCCCACGGCCTTGGTGAAAGGCACTTCGAAACCACCGAAGGAAAACAACATACCGGGCGTACCGACGCCCACGAAATTGAAGGCAGACGTTTTGCATCGCAAGCTCGATCCCAGCACGGTTGCAATGGTGTCACCGATGCCAAGTATTTCGGATCTGATGTCCGAGAGCTCGCACAGCAATTCGAACAGCACCGGTCAGAGCAACTCCAGCGACAGTAGCGTTATTTATAGGCCGAGCAGTGAGAGTGGCAGTGAGATCAAAACTATACCCAATAGAAAAATTGACACGACCTTCGAACAAATGGAGAAGGTCAGTATTAATAGGCATAGCTGGGCAGAAAACATGGCTCTGAGTAGTTTGAGCGATTCAAAAATCTTTAGGGGCTACACCCAATCATACTCGAATTCTTTTTTTATAGTATACTTTGCCTCGTAATGTAACTATGTCAAAAGTAAAACTCAGAATCTTAATGTACTTTGAGGTTCTGTTTAAAAATTGAGACAAACTTTTGACTGTTTTACATTGTTTTACAATTTCGCCGAAAAGTTTCTGCACCTATACGAATTTTTTTCTCGAAAGTAAGTAGGATTTCGGGGGTATGTGTATTCACCAAAAATGGTTGTAATTGACCCTCGCAACCGAAAATAATTTTTCCAGAACGATTTGTAATTTTTTAATTTTCGAAAAATTTGTCCATCTTCTCGAACTTTTTTCTCGAAAGTGCGTAGGATTTTCGGGGTGTGCCTATTCACCAAAAATGGTTGCAATTGACCCCCGCATCCGAAAATAATTTTTCTAAAACGATTTGAAATTTTTTAATTTTCGAAAAATTTGTCCACCTACTCGAATTTTTTTCTCGAAAGTGCGTAGGATTTTGAGGATGTGTGTATTGATAAAAAATGGTTGTAATTGTCCCCTGCAACCGAAAATAATTTTTGCAGAATGATTTGAAATTTTTTAATTTCGTCGAGAGAAATGTTCTTATATTTAATTATATTTATCTCATAAGTATATTAGTTGTGCGAGTATGGCTGGATGTAGACTATGGATTTTATGTATTTATGGTGTATGGTGGTATGAGAAGCTTCTGTAATATTTATGCAGAATAATAATACTACATTTTTTAATTGTGAGAAAGGATGTTTAGTAAAAACTGGATTGCGGATTTTATGCATTTATAGTATATATTTTAGAAAATGTATGATATATTGCAAAAGTATTAGCAGAATTGTAATTTAAGTGAAGGAAACTTTTACTTTATATGCTCTTGTAAAATCAGTAAGACATAGGTATGAGACCTAGTTTGATCTATCAAGAATCGGATGTTTCTGAATGTAACTTGCGTTTAAAGGAATGCTGGGTCGATCTTACTGACATGTTCAGGAAATGCCAATTTATTTTCATAATCATTACGCTCTTCACAGATCAAATAATGCATGGCCCTCATAAACATATCTTATTGATCTTAGTTGAGGAATTAAATTACAATTGTCCTTAATTATAATTTGCACAAGACAATTGGTTGTGAAATTTCTCCCCATAGCTATTTTAACTTGCCTCCAATCAATGCCAACATTTACAAGTTTTTCAATTCTCTAAGTTCTCTAAAACTCTACCGACCAATAGCATCCAGAAATATTCTCTTTCACTCATTCATTAGTATATAATTTACCACGAAAAGTGAACAGTTTCTTCGAAACACTTTCTACAAAACTGAAAATCAATTCAAGATTTTATACCAAATTTTGAAATTTAGCCCCCTCACTCTATCAATCCAATAACTTCAACAAAATTCATCAGCATCCTACTGTCAGCATAAGAGCTAAGTACACAAAAAATCTCCGCTCGATCGATGTCCCATTTCCTTGACCAGGTCCAGGATTTTCCACAAAACTGAAAATCAACCAAAGATTTTATACAAAATTTTGAAATTTCATTTACTAGCCTCCTCTATCAATCTAAGACTCTCAGCTACTGTTTTCAAGTTAAATAAAACCCCAATGCCCTCAAAAAAATCCCTATTCCTATCGTTAGTATAAGAGCTAAGCACACAAAAAAATCTCCGCTCGATCGATGTCCCATTTCCTCGACCAGGACCAGTGAAAATCAATCCAATATTTTATACAAAATTTTGAAATTTCATTTACTAGCCCCCTCACTCCATCAATCTAAGACTCTTAGCTACTGTTTCCAAGTTAAATAAAACCCCAATGCCCTCAAAAAAATCCCTATTCCTATCGTCAGTATAAGAGCTAAGCACACAAAAAAATCTCCGCTCGATCGATGTCCCATTTCCTCGACCAGGACCAGTGAAAATCAATCCAATATTTTATACAAAATTTTGAAATTTCATTTACTAGCCCCCTCACTCCATCAATCTAAGACTCTTAGCTACTGTTTCCAAGTTAAATAAAACCCCAATGCCCTCAAAAAAATCCCTATTCCTATCGTTAGTATAAGAGCTAAGCACACAAAAAAATCTCCGCTCGATCGATGTCCCATTTCCTCGACCAGGACCAGTGAAAATCAATCCAATATTTTATACAAAATTTTGAAATTTCATTTACTAGCCCCCTCACTCCATCAATCTAAGACTCTTAGCTACTGTTTCCAAGTTAAATAAAACCCCAATGCCCTCAAAAAAATCCCTATTCCTATCGTCAGTATAAGAGCTAAGCACACAAAAAAATCTCCGCTCGATCGATGTCCCATTTCCTCGACCAGGACCAGTGAAAATCAATCCAATATTTTATACAAAATTTTGAAATTTCATTTACTAGCCCCCTCACTCCATCAATCTAAGACTCTTAGCTACTGTTTCCAAGTTAAATAAAACCCCAATGCCCTCAAAAAAATCCCTATTCCTATCGTCAGTATAAGAGCTAAGCACACAAAAAAATCTCCGCTCGATCGATGTCCCAATTTCCTCGACCAGGACCAGTGAAAATCAACCCAAGATTTTATACAAAATTTTGAAATTTCATTTACTAACCCCCTCACTCTATCAATCTAAGACTCTCAGCTACTGTTTTCAAGCTAAATGAAACCCCAATGCCCTAAAAAAAAATCCCTATTCCTATCGTCAGTATAAGAGCTAAGCACACAAAAAAATCTCCGCTCTATCGATGTCCCATTTCCTCGACCAGGTCCAGTGAAAATCAACCCAAGTTTTATACAAAATTTTGAAATTTCATTTACTAGCCCCCTCACTCTATCAATCTAAGACTCTCAGCTACTGTTTTCAAGTTAAATGAAACCCCAATGCCCTCAAAAAAATCCCTATTCCTATCGTCAGTATAAGAGCTAAGCACACAAAAAAATCTCCCCTCGATCGATGTCCCATTTTCTCGACCAGAACCAGTGAAAATCAACCCAAAATTTTATACAAAATTTTTAAATTTCATTTCCTAGCCCCTCTATCAATCTAAGACTCTTAGCTACTGTTTTCAAGTTAAATGAAACCCCAATGCCCTCACAAAAATCCCTATTCCTATCGTCAGCATAAGAGGTATGCACACAAAAAAATCTCCCTTCGATCGATGTCCCATTTTCTCGACCAGGTCCAGTTCTTTACATACGTATATTAACATAGTTTGCGAAACGTTCGAGACAGGCTTAAATACTAGCGAATGCATAAAATCCGCAGCCAGGTAATAACTTTCCGCTTGGCATCGAATCAAGTATTAACTCGCGCTCCCTCGCAGGTCCTGTCTGAAAGTTCAACTTGCGCTGGGGGTTCCATAGCCGACGACGAGGCTGAAATGACAGTGAAGCCTATGCAACCTCTGCTCCGCGGGTACACGCCCGGTGCAAGGGGCCTGCAAACCTTGCCAAGCAGGACGACCGCGAGACAGTACACGATCCTTCATTCTTCTTCCCATCATCATGTCGGTCACGATTACGCGGACATCGACGTCGCCTCCGGCTACCTAAGCGACGGAGAGGTTCTTCGCGGCGGCATGAGCGTCGGTAGCAGAACACTGTCCGACTTGTGCGACGGTTACATGTCCGAGGGCGGTGCTTCCTTATACGCGCGCAGAATCAATCCTTCTTACGGCCACGATCACGAGAGGTAAGTTTGACGAAGTATTAATATTCGGGACAGGGGCGAGGGGGAGGGGCACGGCTACCGGGGACAAGGCTTCTCAGAACGCAGAGATACGGCGACTGGGTAGAGCGATTTTTTGTGGAATTTCAAAATATGGAGCGGGATGAAAAAGGAATATTGGAATATTATACAAAATTATTTTTGATAGTCTAATTTTGAAGATGTCGAATCAGGGTTGGGCGAAAGGGATGGAGAAGTTTGGTTATTGGTTTTATAGGATGAACAGTTTCGAGAATTACTATAGTCTGTGATAAATGGAAAGGAATTTCAGGATATTGGAATATTATAAAGAGTAGCATTATAAAATACGGTGGATAGTTTTAAAAATTACTACTGTTATAGTAAAGTCAAAATTAAAAAATTCTTGGAAACTTTTTTTAGTTTGAATACTTTGGTCTTAATAAATATCAGTGATAAATGGAAAGAAATGTAAAAATATTAGATTTTAGAAAATAAAATGATAAAATATGATGGATAATTTTAAAAATTACTACTATGATACTGAAGTCAAAAATTGAAGAATGCTTGGGCCATTTTTTAATTTGGATCCATTGGTCTCAATAAACACTAATGATAAATTAAAACGAATTTTAAAATATTGGAATATTACAAGAAATAATCTTATAAAATATGATGGATAATTTTAAAAATTATTACTATGACAGTGAAGTTAAAAATTGAGGAATACTCGGACCATTTTTTAGTTCGAATTCTTTGGTCTTAATAAATATCAATGATAAATGGAAAGAAATGCCAAAATATTAGAATATTTTAGAAACTGGCCTGATAAAATATGATGGATAGTTTTAAAAATTATTACAATGATAGTGAAGTCAAAAATTGAGGAATAGTTGGACCATTTTTTAGTTCGAATCCTTTGGTCTTAATAAATATCAATGATAAATGAAAAGGATTCTCAGAATATTAGAATATTTTAGAAACTGGCCTGATAAAATATGGTGGATAGTTTTAAAAATTATTACAATGATAGTGAGGTCAAAAGTTGAGGAATAGTTGGACCATTTTTTAGTTTGGATCCATTGGTCTCAATATATACCAATGATAAATGAAAAGGATTCTCAGAATATTAGAATATTTTAGAAAATAGCCTGATGAAATATGATGGATAGTTTTAAAAATTACTAGTATGATACTGAGGTCAAAAATTGAAGAATACTTGGACCATTTTTTAATTTCAGTCCATTGGTCTAAATAAACACCAATGATAAAATGAAACGAATCTTAAAATATTGGAATATTACAAAAAATAGTCTTATAAAATACGATGGATAGTTTTAAAAATTATTACTATGATAGTGAAGTCAAAAATTGAGGAATAGTTGGACCATTTTTTAGTTCGAATCCTTTGGTCTTAATAAATATCAATGATTATTAGAATATTTTCGAAAATAGCCTCATAAAATATGATGAATAGTTTGAAAAATTACTCGTGTAATACTGAAGTCAAAAATTGAAGAATACTTGGGCCATTTTTTAATTTGAATCCTTTGATTTAAATAAATAGCAATGATAAACAAAAGAGAATATCAGAATATTTGAATATTTTGAAAAACAGTAATATAAAAGTTTTTTAAAATTCTCTTTGTTAATTTAACCATGTACCGTCATAATAATGTTTCCTGGAAGCTTATATTCTTACGTAAAAATCTAAAAAATATTGCATAATGGCCTAAATGAATTTTACTAGTCACTGTGTATCCCCGTTGAGGAGCTTACAAGCTTTAAGTGTAAGCTTCACTGATCAATACTTCGTCCCTCTCATCTGTCTTCCAGGCGATGATTTATTTGCGTCTTCCTTACGTAAATTATGATAGATCCGCATTATTAATTACATTGAAATATAATAATTTTCTAAATTGCGTTTATTTCATGAAAGTTTAATGAAAAATTATTATACATCGACAAACAATACACAAAGTTATTATTATCTTACCAACTTAAATATCTCAGTTGCTTTTAATATTTGGGGAAAAGTATTAAAAGAAAACAGAATTTAAAGTAACTATATTTTTTTTTATAAAAAGGCTACATATTTTTATTATCGTGGTGTGATAATTGAGACCCATTTAATATGTAACTTTGACTATGAAAATTTCTAAATACAGACGAGTGCACAATAGATAGATTAATTTTAATATTTGACAAATTTTCTTATCCTGAAAAAGAAGTGAAATATTTACGGTTGTCAAGTTGATGATTGAATCACCTTCCATATGAAAGGTAATTAATTTAACCGATTTGTAAACATTTGGAAGGTGGTATGGCCATTTATTTTTTCGGTATCTTGCCACAAAACACGTGCTCCACTGACAGTGACAAGTCGAATGAGTCATGGCCTCCACGTAAGCGTAAAATACACATCGTAAAATTCGTCGACTCGTGTGGACTCGACAGGGAATATTTTAATTCTCTATAATTGTTTTTTTATTTAAAAAGAAATAAAAGTTCTTTTTGATTCAAGTTAAAAAGAAAAGTTTTATATCTTCATAATATATTTTAGGTAACACGGAGTAAGGAAATTTATTATTTATATACGTTAAGGTTTCGAAATTAGCTTGAGATGCAGTTATATTTTAGAAACAGGAAGTATGTGTTCTATTAAAGTAATTTGTAAGAGTATAGCACAGCACTCTTCTCCAATGTAAAATGAATATTCTACAAAGCAGACCAGTAACAGCTCGTGGAAAAAGCTTTTTGCATAAGGTAGTATAGGAGCCTTCTTGCACGAGCATACAAAAAATATCAAGTAACGTGATATGTTCTATTCATGTCCTGCAAAATATTACTCCGTTATCGAATATTTACTCCAAAGAAATATTCAACATGTCTCACAGAATATAATCTGAACAAGCATAGTTTATTCAATATGAACATCTCCATTTTCTTAATTCGGGACATGTTTAGTATATGGAAAGTTCGTTATTAATATCTGAAATAAATTGTACAAGAAAAATAAAATGCTATTTTGTAAGAAATATAACACTTAGAGTAGGTAAAATATTTAAAATGCTTAAAAGTCTGGTCCTAAGATGTACACTGAGTCAAAATAACAAAATGAAGTTTGGAAAAATATAATTTAACTGTTTGTAAAAATAAACTATTGTCAAAATTACTCGATTATTGTATTTACACATTTGTAATTATACATTAATATTTAAAGTATTGGAAAGAAATTTTAATGCCAATTTTAATTTCAAATATGGACTTAGAAAAAGTATAGAAATTTATTCATTCAAAATATTGATATACACAAACTTGAAACAATAATAATAAAATTATATCAGACTTAGAAAAATAGATGATGAGTGATTTAAAAGTCACGTGGTTTTACAGAGTTAAATAAACTATATTTGGTTAGGCTAGACATTTCTAATTATACATAAACATTCCAAGTGTCGAAAAGAAATTTTAATTTCAATATGGATTCAGAAAAAGTATAGAAACTTATTCACTCAAAATTTTGATATACACAAACTTGAAACAATAATCGATACATGTTAATAATAAAATCAGACTTAGAAAAATAGATGATGAGTGATTTAAAAATCACGTCGTTTTACAGAGTTAAATAAGCTATATTTGGTCAGACTATATATCGAATTGCATATTTATTTATTGTAAATGTCTAATGAAGTTCCATTTCAACGCACCTCCACTATTTTCTGTTCAGCTTCAATTTGCTTCCGGTACGGGAAGAAAGCATTATTTGAAAGCATTATTTGACGATGGTGGGGGCTACGTGTACGCCCGCGGTTAATATTAAGTTATCCTAGCGTGAATCACTTGGCGAAGTTGCGCCGCGACGTCTGAATTAGACTTAATGTGATATGCACCGGAGAGTAGTCGCGTCGCCAAGTACTAACGGCCATTATTTAGACGAAATTTTGCGACCTAATTTTGTACGGGCCCTGCAATTACTCAGCCCCACTTAATTTAGCTCGATTACCTCTTGCTGCTCGAGTTACATTGATTTAATTAACCCTTGTTCCGATAAACTCGTATCAATTTTCTCGGTTCAAAAATTTTTAACTTTGCCCCATTTCTAATACTTTGTAGTCGTCGCGAGTCTTCCGGTCCTGTTCCCCCAATTTTCCAAACTGCGTAGAACGGGCCACGGTCCTAATCGATGTCTGGCATCGATTAGACACCCGCCAAAATGAGTCACACAGCGAATCGGGTATTCTTTGTTAGCTACAAATTAACAAATAAAATTCGAGATTAAAGAAAATTCAATTTCTTGTGCTAATTTCAATACTAAAATAGTATAATTTTTAAACAAAATTTTCATTATTTGACATCTGAAATTTTGACACAAATTTTAGATCCTTGCATCCATCTATGATTGAATGAAATTATCAATTATAATTATTGGTATTTTATCCTAGGTTTCTCTTTTTGTCCCTACCTATTTATCTACATTTATTTTATTCAGTTATAATAATATTATATATTATATTAAAGAAATTGTTTACTGAGGAAGATCAAAATTAGAACCTAAAAATAATCAATCTCAATTACTAATATATTTTTTCAATTTTGTCTTCCTACACCTATCTATTTATCAACGTTTATTTTATTCAGTAATAATAGATTTAAAAAATTCTTCACTGAGGAAGATCAAAATTAGAAATTAGAATAATTAGATGTTATTATCAATTGCAAATGTTAGTATATTTTTCTAGCTTTTTCTTTCTATCCCTACCTATTTATCTACATTTATTTTATCCAGTCATAATATATTAAAGAATTTATTTACTAAGGAAGATAAAAATTAGAACTTAGAAATAATCAATTGCAATTATTATTGTATTTTTTCAATTTTTTCTTTCTACACCTATCTATTTATCAACGTTTATTTTATTCAGTAATAATAGATTTAAAGAATTATTTACTGGGAAAAATCAAAATTAGAAATTAGAATAATTAGATGTTACTATCATTTG